AATGACACCATATATTAAAAAAAAAAAATTTAAATATCCCTAATATGTGCTGGAACTGGAAAAAAAAAACTCTTATACGGACAGCTTTGTGGACAACCACCACCACCACTAGATCAAACCTTAATCAAATGAAGATTCAACTCCTTGAGCTAAATTACAGAGGAAAACCATGTGACCACCTATCCATTAATCAGGCACTTTAAAAAATAAAATACAAAAAAAAAAAAAGAAAAAGGTTGTGGTCCTTCATTTCCATTAGGGTTTGTCTGTATGTCATGGACATCAAAGAAAGACACAAGAACCACCCAAAGCTAAGGACAAAACTGTGCCCTCAACTGATTCCTCCCCAACCTGGCCAATAATATATATATATATATATATATATAGAATGAAAACAATATTTGTTGGAGGAGTGTTGATATCGTTACCTGTCGTGGTATCTATGCATAAGGAAATTTTGTTAGTTGGATCATGCAAAAATTTAAGGCTAAGTTTGGCTGATAGGAACTTTGATCAAAATAGATGATTCTAGCATTTGGAATGGATTGAAATAGGAAAATGATTTTTGATTATCTATTACAGCAAAAACCATATTTCTAAACTGATTACGAATTCGGTGCTCATTTTTTTACAACTTTTATTACCAGTAATCTCATTATTAATGAGATTTTCATTCATACTCAAGATTCTTGTCATTGAAACACAGCATAAACGCTAATTCTCATAACATTAGAAAAAAAAAAAGGAAATTTTTATACAGGTCTAGTTACACAAAAAATTTCTTAACCCATTAAATATCATATATTAACCCAAGATTGTAATACCGTTATCCAATTAAAAATGATAGCAAGCTCGCATGACAACCAAATATAAAATTTTGTAGTCAATAAATATAAAATTTTTAAGTCAATAAATTGAGCTGTGAAATTTCATAGTACTTAAAAAAAAAATTAAGAAGTTTCTCGATTTTTATAAATTCTCATAATTTCTGTACAAATCTATGCAATTCACAATTTGTGTGCAGAAACTATGAGATTTTGCTGTTAACATAGAAATTGTGAAATTCCAAGATAAATTTACCATTTTTCATATAAATTCTTAGTTTCTATGGTATAAAACTTCATAGTTTCGTTTCACAATTGACCCCACTTCTTTGTACATGGCGCCGCCCATGGCCCTAGCAACTGACAAATGTGAAGGCATAGAGAATGAAACCCTAGATGGTGAGAGGAGGGGACTCTCTAGGATTTTCCTAATGTTGGCCTAACATTGAAAACAACCCCTAACATGCAAGGTGGTGTATTCAAGCAATTGGAGGACCTTTGCATTTGCATATTCTCCAAGCAAAGGACATATTGCCCCCATGTGACCACAAGCAAATTTAAGCATGCCCTATTTATATCCCATCTTCCAACCTGATTAATACACTGCTATCCTTATTGTATGTATAATACTTGTTTTTGTCTACTATTTCTTTATCAAATGGTCCTAATGTATATGGGGCACCATAGCTACTACCCTTGCTTTAGGTAGTAGAACATTAATTTTCAACTCCATAGTATGACCAAATATTTTGTGTCCATTATTTTTTTTTTTTTGTTTCTCTTTTAATTTATAATTATTAGATTATGTGAAAATTTATAAACATAATTTATCTCATGACATAATCTAACTACCAAAATTTACGACATCTTATCTTCATCACTAAAAGTATACATTTTTAGCAATGGAATGACAAAGGAAATTTTTTTATTGTCAAAAGTATTTCAAGACAATAATGAATAAAATTAATAACATACTATTTTCTACCACCTACTTGTAATGGAAGGGAATTTCGTAACATGTGAGCAGATGATAAAAATTACAGAATTAAATTATGTACTCGTATGAGGATCAAACAAAAATATCCAGTTTTGGCAACAAAAAAAAAATATATTGATTGTCAACATTTTTATTTCTTATAATGGTATCATATAGCCTTACATTTGAATATTTTGTTTTTTTGGTACTAATCAAATTGTCCATGTTTGACAGCATTTCATTATTCAAAAAATAACAATAAATAATAGATTCAATTTTAATTTTTAGTATGTCATATAAAACATTTTTTCTAATTATTCAATTTAAACCCTTAATTAGAACCACATAAAATAAATTTTTAAAAGTATACATTATTACGTAAATATATAACTTTATATTATCAATTTAGCTACTTACAAATTGAGGCGTATTTTGTTAAAAGTTAATTTTTTTAAAAAAAAAACATATAAAAAAATTAAAAAATTAACTTTTTAACTTTATTTTCAAAATATGCTTGTCTCAAATATTCGATTATTAGAATAAAAAAATATTCAAATGGTTTCATTGTAAGTATTGAAAGGGTGTGTGAACCAACCACTTTTCCCCATAAAAAGTTTGGATCACTGACAATATTTGTTGAGTAAGGCCTGGACTAGTAATTATTCGAGTAGAGATGTTTGATAGATGAAATAGAGTGGTCCCATTAATCATTTCCTCTAGAGTACGTTTTCCAATTCAAATCTCAGATCCAGAGAGAGATGAGACACTGCGAGAGAGAGAGAGAGACAGAGAGACTCTGCATTGGAAACAACAGGTCAATGTCACTAGCTGTAACGGCATCCACTAGGTGAGCAGTGAATATTTCTACTAATTCCGGATCGATCTCTCGCATTTTGAACCACGGATGATTTTTGATTAATTTTTTTTAATTCGTTTAATTTTAGACAGATAACAGATTTTAAATTTTTTTTATTGCAATTTGAACGGTTAAATCACGAACATCTTTAATAATTTATAAAATTTTATATTTAAAAAAAAAAATAGATATTTTATTTTATTTTTAATTTCAAATCTTTTTATTAAATGATAAGAGTTGATATTTGATATTTATGTAGAAAATATTGGACTTAATTTTGTAATTTTTTTAAAAAATTAAATTAAATAGTTTTCAAATTAAAAAAATAGTGAAATAGTTTTGACAATGTATGATTTTCTTATATGTTTTTATTATTGGTATTTGACAATATACTTGATAATCTTTTAGTTATATTGAGTTAGATTATTATTCAAATTATTATTCCAAAAAAAAAATATTGACAAATTATTATTTTATTTTCAAAATTTGTAAAAATTTAAACCACCAAATCGATTCGTATCCATCCGCTAAGTCACATCCGTCAATTCAATGGACGAATACAGATTGATTTTTTTAATCCGCCCATCCGACGGACAAATGGCATATTAAAGATTTCCTAACCACAACTGAACCACGAACACCCCTAGCATCCACAATAAATTAATTAAATTGTCAATTTAATTTAAAAAATTCAACAAATTAGTTGAGAGACTATTTAAAATAATTTACTTACAAGTAAGGCTACGTTTGATCATTTTTAAAAAATTATTATAAATTGTCATATTATTTTTATTTATTTTTTTACATATTTTTTCATAAAAAATAAAAAAATTACTAAAATAATATATTTTTAAATGAGATCTAACTAGCTACTTTTGTTCACTAGTAGACCCTGTTTACAAATTGAGTATCTTAATTGTTTTTTAATTTTTTATGAAAAAATATGCTAAAAAAAAAGAAGAAGATAATAATGTGATAATTTATAATAATTTTTTTTTTGGGTTAAAAAACTAACTTCCCAAATGTCCCAGAAAGAATCAGTTATTCGTATTTGGCTCGTTATATAAATAAGTTAAATTTAAATTCATTTAAAAATCATTAAATTTTCAAAATCAAACTTGAACAATTTATTACTTGATAAACATAAAAAAAATTATAAAGAAATCAAGACACACGAATTCGACTCGTGTTTAATTTGTTAAACTAATTCAGTTATTTAGATAAGTCAGGTTTGATATGTTTTCAAACAAATTTAGTTTTTAAACTAAACTCAAACAATTTATTATTCAATTCAACTCAACTTTTGCACTAATCACTATTCAATAGCCAATTAATTTTTTACTCCCCCCTCCCTTAAAAAACATTGAATGAATATTTTAAAATAAAAAAAAAACAAATTATTAAAATGTACATTGAATAAATGACTGGCGAAAGAAACAAATTAAGATTTTGACCAACATAACTAGGGATGCTCTAACAATGAGCCCAAATTAATCAATTAAGTTGTCTCAGTTGATCAGATAATTGAAAAGCTACACATTAAAATCTTATGATTTGAATCAATAGTTAAAATGTAAATTATGCTGAAAACTCTTGATTAGGGCTTAATAAAAAAAAATGCAAAATTTAGAAATTTTTGATATAACTTAGGGGTGGTTTGGCATCTCATAAATAATTCATCTTTTTATTTTTTTTCATTATATCACCCCTCTACTTTTCTGAATATCTTTTTGTAAAAAGAAAAAAATATATATTTATTTAAATCATTCCAAATAACCCCTAAAATTATATCCGAAGACTAGTCAAGATGAACCCGAACACTATGATGGTTTGGGATAATCTAAATAAATACACTTTTTAAATTTTTACGAAAAAATGTGTAAAAAAATAGAAAAGTGATGTGATGAAAAGAAGATAAAAAGATAAAAAATGTATAGTTATTAATACACCCCCAAACAAGAGAGGAGAGAGAGAGAGAGAGAGGGGTCCAAAAACCCACCACTAAAAACTCTGAGAGTGTTTAGCAAGATAAACTTTAATCTGGTTTAGTTAAAATTCAACAAAAAATAAATAAATAAAATAATAAAATAATTAATAAGATAAAATATCATTTTAAATTTATAATTATTTTATTTTTTTTTTACAAATATTACATTTAATTACAAAAAAAAATTAATTATCTTTTCAAATATAAAAATTTTAACTTACTAAAATAATTAAAAATTAAAATTACTTACTAAAATATCAACTTCCCACACACCCTCTATATATAACCACTGTACAAAGAGTGAGAGGGAACGAGAGGTTGCGTACATCTATTACAGTGAATGATGGGGTTGAGAGGAGAGGAAAGCAGTCAGGAGAGATTTAGTTCTCCAGCACAAAACAATGCATGGCTCGTGTTGCAGTTGCAGCCACACCTTCAAGGGCTAGCTAGATTCCTCATCAAATACAGGTCAAACCCTAGATCAGTATATTTACCTCTCTGATGATCTTGGTTCTTTCTTCCGAATCTCCTATTTTCTGATGATGATGTGTTGGTTTGAGAGCTTGAAGCTGCCAGCATGATCTAGTGAGACCAAACCCATCTTTTCTTTGAGTTTCTTTCTTTCCTTTTATATTTTCAAAGTTTTTTAAATATTCATCGATACGTATTGATATTTTAAATATGCCCCAATAGCATGTTTGGTGATAATGTCTGGTATCGACTGATATACCAATCTTTTTTCTTTTTTCTTTTTCTTTTTTCTTTTTGAGTTTCTCTCTTTCTTTCATCTTTTCAATAGAGGGTTTTAAATACTAATCGATACGGATCGGGACATTGAATTTCCCTTTTGATATTGATCGATACTGTTATTTAAAATCATATTCCAATATTGATGGGCCAGATGATAGATGTGGATCTTGTTGATCTTGATTTTTTTTAGTGAATAAATGGTGGGTTTTTAGTGGGATGTTATGGATGAGTGAGACTGCTAGTTAGGTTTGTTTTCCCAGTTTATTTTGAGACAACCAAGGGTTTTTTTTAAGTCTGCCTTTGAAACGACAACCGATAGAATTGGAACGATACAAAAAAAAAAAAAAAAAAAAAAAAGATTTTGAGTTCGAGCTGCATAGACACATGGTTCTACTAGATCATCTTGCAGCTTCAATCACTCACTTCCCAACAATAAGAAGAATTTCCTCCTCTTGTTTGCCGTTTCAATCCGGGTAATTCTCCTCTCTTTCCTTTGTTTTTGTTTTTGTTTTTTTTCTTTTTCTTCACCTTAGGGAAAAAGAAATTTTGATTTATTAGTGCAATCATTATTTACTAATCCTAAAAACGTATATTTCTTTGTGGAAATTATATAGAAATTTAGAAATAGATAATAAGGACATACATTGTCATTGTCAAGTTTTCAACAGACGCCAACAAATGAAGAAAATAAACCTTTGATTTATTTTATCAAGGGTTGGTTTGGGGTTTGGGGTGGTTAGTTTTTCACATTATCTTTCTCTTTTTCCATTCAAATTTCTCTCTCTCTCTCTCTAGTCATGTGTATATATTTGTTTGTGTTGACTATGTAGATGATATGTAGAGTCAACACATGAAACAAATTTCCAAGACACAAGAAAGATCTTTACAAGTATAAAATTTTTACGTTTGTACTTTTATATAAATGGTTCTTAGCCATCCATCATTGCAAGAATATTTTGCTCTTTCATTAAAGAAAAAAATTACCAGAAAAAGGGAAACTTTATTATTTATAATTTAATTATCTTTTTTTAAAAAAACTAAAATCACCCAAGTGCTTTTTCACAGACTTTAGACAGGTGAACTTGACATGAGATAAGAGGGTATCGTTTAGTTTAGACTGTCTTGTCTTTTTAATTAGATTCTTATTTTTTGCTATTCAATCTACTTCTTTTTTAATTAAAAAAATATATAATTGGTGAGTAATTATTATATCAAAGTTAAAGACAAACCAAATGCCATCTGTCATCAATTCAATTTCAATCTGAATAAGGATCATGTACTATTCTAATATGGGTATGATAAATTTTCTTTATTTATGAAGTTACTATTTTTTAAAGCTATAAGGGTTAGTCTAGGAGCCAGAATTCATGTACATTAGTAGGAGGTTGCAGATTCTACTCTTTCTTGAATGCACCAAAAAATAGATTATCGTTAAAAATTAAATGGGTCTATTGATTTTACAAGGAATTTGATAAAATGAGTACATCGAGTTTTTTCAACACTTAAATGGGACCACTATGTTATCCTCAATATACAGTTTTTTACATTTCAAAATTTTCCATCTATTGCCTCATTTATGTTTTTGCACACACAAGTGGTCCTAATTTTATTTTCCAACTTGTGTTGTGCATTGCCATTTCATACATGAAGTTGTCCTTATATGATTTTCCAAATTTTGTTTTGCATATTTTTGCACCCGCTTAGTAATTGTTTAATTACTTGTAAGCTTATAGGATCAAAAATGATATAAGCTATTTCGATAAATAATAATGCTCATATTTTATTTATCATTTCATATATCATTGTTCTGGTAATAAATATGAGTGATAGAACTTGTTAATTCAATACAAACTATGTTTGTTCAATTAGAAGAACAGTTAGTCTCAAGTCATTTACATGAATGCAATGCATTCATTGAAAAAACAAAATTTGCTAGTGTTTCATTGAGTGCGACCATTTATGAATGTTTATATAGAGTTTTACTTCCATATCAAACAAATGTTACTAATTATAGAGACACAATAGGTAGTACTCATGACTTGTAAGAGCTCATAAGAAAACTTCCATGGGAAATTCTATATTGCTAAGCGCGAGCTTAAAATTTCACGCACCATAGGACAATATATAATACAAAAGATTTAAGAGAGTTAATCCTAATTGAGATTTACCTTGAAGAGCTTATTGAAATCAAGAGTTAATTGAGGTAAAAAACACATCCTTGTAAAACTAAAAAGATCAATCCTTGTGGAACAAAGGAACTCAATGAAATAAGTGTGGAATTAGTATTTTTGGTTGGATGGATTCGAGTCACGAAAACAACTTCTACAAAAATGGAGTAGGGATATATACATCTTTCTTTTGATCGGCAAGAAGATGTTATATTGATGTAATAAAGAGTACAAGAAGTACAATACAATTACATCAAAAGAAGGAAGTAAGGAAAATAGCATCATTGCTTAAAGAGCAAAACTCAAAAAATTGGCATTGGCACTAGCATTCAAGCCAAACAAATGCTAAACCAAAGCCAAACAATGACTAACACCACCAAATCCTATTACATAAATCTTGCCATCTCTAAAACTTGCATTTTTTTTAATAAATAAAAAAGGAGTTTATTGATGTAAATCATATGTATACAAACGTACATCAATTAGAATGGTTGTGTTAGAAAAAACATCATTGCCAAAGAACACATCTCAATTAGGTTGACACATGCAACTAACCAATCATATGTAATACGTTGCATTAGGCATGTGCCAACCTAGTTGGGATGTGCTCTTATACGATGATGCATTTTTTCTTGGTCTTTCATTGATATAATTTTGATGTACTTCCTTTGTACTCATTCATTTTGCATCAATAAATTTCTTTTGTTGAGAAAAAAAAAAAAGCGAAAAACAAAAAATACAAGTTGGCAAGACACCAACCACCAACTACACCTAAAGGAAAGAAAGTAAACAATATAGTTGACACTATATGTTTTTGTTTTTTTATCAACAAAGAAGAGGCTTTATTGATGAAATGAAGATACAAAAGCATAACATACATCATAAAAAGCAAGGAAAAAGCTACAAGTATCATAGCTACGCTAAATGATCTCAATTAGGTTGACACCGCAAAGTCATCCTTTTTTAATGTCAAAGTTAATTGATCGTGGCAGTTTTTGTATTATAGTATGGCTTAAGCTTATTTATAATGCAACAAACATGAATTTGGACTGATTTATTCATAAGGCTAATGCATAGGTTAGCATATGTTAATTTGATTTTTCATTTTTGTATGACACATGTTTTTGGCAATACAATTAGTGTAGATATATTCAACTAGTGTCTGTTTTTTTTAGAACATTTTGGAAAGATCTTCTTTTTTTTTTAAATGGCTTAAGCTATAAAAATGAAGGAAGCTATTATATTATAGTTAATTGACTTTGGCTTCCTTTGGGAAGCCATGGTTTGGACTTTTTTGGCTATTTTAGCCACAAAATAGGCTATTTTAGCCATAACAAATAAAACATCACATCCAACCCATAATTATTACATTCTTCTCTCACAAAAAAATTCAAAAAAGCCAAAAAGTCAAAAAGTCCTTCCCAAACCAAGCTTTTAAGCACAAACAAAAATAGCCAAAAAAGTCAAAAAGTCAAAAAGTCAAAAAGCTAACCCACTTCCCAAACGGAGGCTTTGTTTGACAAATGTATTGAGGAAGTTAAAAGTTTTTTTCTTTTTATCTTTTTTTGAGTAAAAGGATGTTGAAAATTACTTGTGTAAAGAGTTAGTAGTTGTAATCACATATCTGTCCAATGTATATAGTTATAGAGTAGGTGGTAATCAAGTTAGTGCTTACGTATTCTTGTTATGAAAAATGGTAATAAAATTTTCTAACCAAAAAAAAAAAATAGTAATAAAATTTTAAAATTCAGTTATGCTATGCGCACAGAAAGTTTTAAATATAGAATATACAAATGTGAGATAAAAAAATGTTCACATTTGTAGTTGCGAATGCATTTGTAGTTGAATGACAATATCGAAAATTCAAAACCCCATTACATAACAACCAATACAATATATAACTACCGATATTTATATAATAAAAAATAAAATAAGAAAACTAAGCATGTTAAAGATTATCAATAAATAAAAATCTAAAAATGTTGGCTCTAAAAATTCTATCAAATATTTGACCAAACGTCTCAAATGAATATGAGTTCCTCACTCATGTGGAATCCTGTAAGACTCACACTTATGTGATACATTTGATCAAATATTTAGTAGAGTTTTTAGTCTTCCTAGCATGCCTCAATAAAACTGCTAGAAGAAAAGTTTTACTTGTACCTTTTACCAGAGAAAAGAAGATAGGTTCAAAGAACTTTGCCTAAGATCAACTCTCAATTAAAAAACAAACATCAATAGGAGCATTAGTTAGAAAAGCTTGTCACAAGTTAACTACCACATGGAAGCATACTTTTTGTGTTGTCTGTTGGTTCTAATCCTTATTTATATCTAACAGTGGGGACAGACATTGACATAATCATAGTCATAAAGGTAAATTTAACCTATTAATTCGGCTTTCCTTTTAATAAAATCATATAACCAACCTCAATTATTGCTAATGACTCATTAAAAATCTCAGTCTCAACCCAATGAAATGTCTCAATTAAGACACAAGCTATGTTCAATTGGCATCAAGGACCCCCCATATGAGTGGTGTTGATGAGATTGGCTGAAGGTCCAATTGGAGCTTGATGCCTGTCAAAAGATAATTAGTTGGGTAATAAAATTTTCCATAGTGAAAAAATTGTAAAAAATTAAGCTTGAACCTACACGGAATTCTCTACGCTAGTGATTGGAAATTTACTAATTTCTTTTTTAGATAGGACTGTAAATAAATCAAACTATTTGTAAACTCGACTTGATTATTACATATATAAATGAGTTATAGTTAGATTTTTAAATTCATTTAATAAACGAGTCAAGTTTAAGGTAAAACAAGTTCGGCTGTTTATTATTTATTAAAATAATAATAAAATAAATATGTTATTTATATATTAAAATACATATGTTATATATGTACATTGTAATATAAAATAATTTTATCAAGTCAACGAAGCTTGATTATTGAACTAAATTTATTATTCATTATTGAACTGCCGGCCAAGCTCAAGTATGATTTGTATTAACGACTCGAATTGGATTCATTTTAAGTTGGGAGGTTGATTGAATATGATTTTCTTGGTGGGGAAGAAATGATGCGAATTATAATTTTTTCTTAAAGAAAAATTTCACCAATGAACCATCTAATTTTACTCGGGTTTCAATTTGGTCTATATGTCAATTTGAAAGACAATTTTGCCCTCTAATTTTTTATTTTATGTCAAATAAAGACAATTGATAATATTTATCCAAATTTTGAATGAAAAATAGTCATGAACATAGTGCATGTGACTAATATTCAAGGGCAAAGTAATTTTCTCAACAAAATTTCTTATCAAAACTGTTCGTCTTATCTAGCCATGTACTTAATCACAATAAATCATTCATCTTTTATTTAAAATTATCATTTTAAACCTCAAATAATTACGTACTTTGATACATTCGTCTCAAAATGGGAATCTTCGTAGAGCTTGGTGTTGTAATGGCTCATGGTTATAGACAAAGTGCAGGAGGATGATGGCAAGAGTTGTTGAAATTTCAAGCTTAATGATTCACTGGTTCTCAGCTGGCTTGGGTGACACGTGGCAGAAGTCCATTGGAACAACCCTTTAAGCAACCTATCATGCTGTGACACGTGGCATAGAGGTCCTTTTGTCCTTGGGTGGTCAAAGCAAAATATTCAACGAAATATGCTTGAATTCAATTTCCAACATAGGAGGGCACTATAAATGTGGGTAGTACTACTTCTAGATGATGTGCAAGTGTGAATTGGGAAAGTAGTAAATTAATAAGAGAATTGTTATATGTAATCCATTTTTTTATATTTGTATCATTGTCAATATAAATATTTAATATAATTCAATAATATCTTCTAATATGTTTAGCATTCATCAAATGAGAGAATTGTTTTATGTAATCCATTTTTTTATATTTGTATCATTTTCAATATAAATATTTATTATAATTCAATAAAATCTTCTCATATGTTTAGCATTCACTAATTAATAAATTGGTGGTACTATATGCACTAATTAGTATACTAATTAGTATTATATCATTATTACTGACCTCACCTATTAATTAAATTACAAATATCTAAAATCTCTAAAATAATGTGACATCATCTGTTAGTACACTAATTGGTACATATAGTATTATTCTTAATAAGTAGAGCAACTACACTCCAAAACTAGTAGTTTTGGGATTTGTAATTAGACTAAAGGGTATAGTTGATATATTGTAGCTCACATCGGGCTTATCTCAATAGCATTTGAATCATTTATATTTTAAAGTCCTTTTGAGGTGATTGTTCAAACAAAAAATAGGTTAATTGAATATCGGTAATCATATAATGTCCTTTTGAGGTGATTGTTCAAACAAAAAATAGGTTAATTGAATATCGGTAATCATATAATTGGATAATCAACTTAATTTTTTTACATAAATTATCTATTTGGTAAAAACTCTAAGAGGAACAGTTTAAATTATCGAAATGAGAATGGGTTGAATTCACAATTCTGTCACCTGGACCTCAAATCTAATTACTGAACTGAAAAAAAAAAAAAAAAAAAAAGAAGTCTCTTTCTTGCATAATAACTACATTGTGGAAAAATAAAATTATTTCCAATGATAAACATTTTTATGATATTATGTTGGTAACATCAATTCTAGTGATAAAATAGAACCACAAAAATTATTTTATTTTCTGAAAGAAAGTCTTAAGAATTCCTTTCCTATGAGATCTTGTTTCAAATGGATTGTTATTGGGCCGTGTCAAATAACGCATGAACTTCTCAATCATAAAGTCGAAAGAAAAATTGATAGTTGGCCCGGCCCACAAGTTTTTTGGCCTTAGATGCACCTTCATATAGATCATCTCCTCCATATATAAGTACAGGATAAATTACACTTTGCCCCTAAAGTTTCACTCATTTCTCACTTTGACCCCTTATGTTTACAATTCTTCCCACTTTGGTGAGTAATTCTATTTACACACCACTATTTCTCTCAATTTACACCATTTTTCCAAAAAAATTTTATTACACTTCTATCCTTCAATCAAATTACCAACACACCCCTCCCTCTCTCTCTCTCCTTCCCTCTCAACTCAACTTTAACCTTTGCCACTACCGGCCACCGGTAACCACCTATCTTCTTTCCGATTATCACCACCTTCATTGCATTCCTCTCCTCCTACCAATGCCATCTCATCGCCCTTCTGCAATCCTCGCCGACATAGCCACTACCAACCTCTCTCCTTAGCTCCGCCGTCCACCTCTTTGCGTCATCCGCCTTTCTCCACCCTCTACAACTAGCTCTGTCTCCTTTCTTCCCAACTCCAATATCTTTCGCAGCCCATTCCACAACCCTCTCTTCTTCTTCTTCTTCAAACCCTAGATCTAGTAACCCAAACCCTTCTTCTTCTTATTGACCAAACCTTAGATGTAGAAACCCAAACCCTAGCTGAATGAGGGGTGGATCACAACGGAGGGTTATCAAAAATGGTTGTTGGCAGTGGGGGGCTGCGGCGTTGTCGTTGAGAATGAAATGCTAGAGAGGTTGTCGACAATGATAGTGGTGAAGGCTGATGGTCATTGTGATTGAGAGAGATAGAGAAATCGCAGGTGAAAGAGAGATCGCGATCTAGCGATCGCGACTAAATGGAAGGAAGCTACAGTAGCGATGGCGAAATGAGACAATGATGAGGGACTGACAGAAAGGGGTTGCGATGAAAGAAAGAACAATTGAAGATAAGGAAGTAGTAGTGGGAGGGGGAGAAAGACTGGGAAGGGGCAACAGCCGTGAGAGTTGAGAAAGGCTGAGAAGGGAACGACGCCAATGGGAGGCGGTATTTGCCAGTGATGGTTAAGGTTAGGGTTTGTTAGAGAAGATGATGGTAGTTTAGTATTATAAGAAAATTATTTGTGTGTATTGAGATAAAATTAAAAGTTGTAATATGTGTATGGTTTGAACTAAGTAAATGATGTATACTAAGACAAGTAAAGGTGTGTAAATAGAATTACCCCACTATGGTCCTTCATGTTGGCAATTCTTTCCACTTTGGCCCTGAGTTTGATTTTTCCCACTTTGACCCTTTATATTTGTAATCTTTTCCACTTTGGTCCATCATGTTTGCAATCATTCTCACTTTACTCCTAAACTAACTTCTATAAAAAAAAGTAACAGAATTTGTCACATCACTAACACATTAGCTCCATATGTGATGTAAAAAAATCACTAAAAATGCAAAAAATAAAAAATAAAAAACAAAAAAAAATTAGAATTTTTTTTTAAGTCTTTAGTGAATTTTTTTTTCCAAATTTATTCATAAACATCAAATTTACTATCGTTTTTTTTTTCTTTAGTAATTTTTTTTTTTTAGTTAAATTTGTTTTTATTTTTTTGGTTGCATCTAATCTAGATGCCTCCATAATGTAATAATGTTTATGAATAAATTTTGAAAAAAAAAGTTCACTAAAGACTAAAAAAAAAATTCTAATTTTTTTTTTTTATATTTTATATTTTTAGTGAATTTTTTACATCACACATGGAGCTAATGTGTTAATGATGTGGCAAATTCTGATAGTTTTTTGGATAGAAGTTAGTCTAAGAATAAAATGGAAATGATTGCAAATATGAAGGACCAAAGTGGGATGGATTGCAAACATAAAGAGTCAAAGTGGAAAAAATTAAACTTAAAGGACCAAAGTGGGAAGAATTGCACACATGAAGGGTCAAAGTGAGAAAAATTAAACTTAAAAGGACTAAAGTAAAAAATGAGTGAAACTTTAGAAGGCAAAATATAATTTACCCTAAATATATAGAAAAATGGGTAAAATGATACATATTCATAATTTTATGAGCAATTACACTGACTATATTAAAAGGAAAATGATTGGTGGCCCTAAAAAAGTTGGCCCTAATACCCCTAATTTCCATTTTTGGAAACTGTTTTTTTTTTCTTTCTTTTTTCCTTTTTTTTTTTTTATACCTAAAATGGAATTTCGGGGCATTCGAGCCCCGAAATTTAGGGCCCCCGAAACTTTAGAAGGCAAAATATAATTTACCCTAAATATATAGAAAAATGGGTAAAATGATACATATTCATAATTTTATGAGCAATTACACTGACTATATTAAAATTTGAAATAAATACAATAAATTTATAAAGTTGGCATATCTGCACCACCCACTGCCACTGCTATGGTCCACTATTGACCTTCGGCACCACCAATTATCACTCAAGACATCTGACGGCTTTTTCTATCACCTTACAAAACCCTGGCCATCAATTCTAATAGCCACGTTCATCGTGGGCCACCAACTTTAGCAATTTACAAAACAAAAAATTCATTTTCTTTTGTATTTTTTATTTGAGTAAATCACACACACTCCTCTCGAGATTTGGTAAAAATATAAATTTTTCTTTGAGATTTAAAAAATTGCATCTCGTCCCCTGAGATTTATATTTACATAACAAATTACCCCCTGAGATTTTTATTTTTATACAGATTCTCCCTAATTTTTCCTAATTTGTTTTGAAAATTTGACCCTCATGGGTCAATTTGTAATTTTTCAAACGTCAGGGGAGAATTTTTATTTTTATCAAATCTCGAGAGGGATGTTTGTAATTTTCCCTTTTTATTTTTAGTGATTATTTTTTTTTAGATCAGCTCAATTTAGTGATTATTTTCTTGGGGGATTTGGTGATAGCCCCCTCACTATCTAATTTGTCTTTCAAAAGGACAAAAATTATATAAGTACTTTCAAAACCTCCTAATATTTTAAAACTTGTTTCTTTTATCATATTACCCTCATAAAATTTTATTTTGTATGAAAGTAAAATTTTACTATAAAAAATTAATCAAACGACATTTGGATCGTGGTTACAATTTTATGCATATTGGTTTAATTCAAATTGGTGTCAATCCATTAACTATGATAGGACAAAACACTTCTGTTTTACTCTGTTTAAGAGATGCTCGTTTTCTTAATTACAATGCTAGTTTAATGGGAATGATGGAAACTGGTCTTAATAAAGGTCCCGTACATTTTAACTGCTTCCGCCTTTTGGTATCAGAGCCAAGTAATGTTGTATCCTGTTTCTAACTGTTTAGCTACTTCTGTTCAATCGTCTTCCTTGTTTGTTTAATTAATCAAGATTCCATGGATATTCAAATGGCATTATGGGATTGATGATAATATCATCATCCGCCAACACACAGTTAAATGGTGGGTTAAGTTCAATGTTCCCAGAATTCTTGAGATTGTTCAAGAAGAATTTCCACCTGATCAATGTGCTCCAACTCCTGCTCTTGCTCAAGCCCAGCAGAACCCAACTGCTGCAGTCACTCAAGGAAGCCAGCCCAGTCTTTCTCCAGTCAATCTTGGAAGCCTCTCATCCAGTGGCTCCAAGCTCAAATTATCCAAATCCAAGTCCAAAGCTGTTGCTGCTCAACCAGCCCAATCAAAGCCCAAATCAAAGTCCACAGTCAAGGCAAAGCCCATTCCACCTCCCGTTCAGCCCAAAGGTCAAGGCAAATCCAAAAGTAAAGCCCACTCATCCAAAGAAGACATGATCCAGTTAGCCCATCAACTGTTGAATCAAGCTAAAGCCCAATCCACTGATTCAGACAATTCAGATGATTCCACCCAGATCCATTCCTCTGAAGAATCAACAAATCAGTATTCAGGACCCGAGTTTCAAGATGCTCAGGATCCATTTGTTTAATCAACTTTGTTTAATCAACTTTGGATTCCATATAGATACAAATTAGCTTCAATCAATACTCTTTTGAGAAAAGCTGCCAATTTGTATTTATATTGATTCCATGGTCCACCGAAAGTGATGAATAGTAAAAGTTCACTTTTACTGTTCACTATCACTATT